AAAAAAAAAAAAAAAAAAAAATCAGGACTCTTCAAAGAAAAAATTAAAAATAATTATATTCATGAGACATCATCAAGAGAGTAATGAGAGTAAACAGAATAATGAGACTAAGCAAGTAACCACAGAGACACACACTGCTACACAAAAAGTACTAACCATAAATGTTAGTACACAGGTGCACGCACGCGCACACACATGCAAACACATGGGCCACTGATCTCCCCAAAAACTCACATGCTCAGTGTTACAGCCAGTAACTCTAACCCCAGCACAAAGGGCATTGGCTGCTCTTTCATTGTTAAAAACCCTGAACTGGACGAATCCTGCAACAAATTCCACTGAAAGAGAAGAGGTGAAGAAAGGGCCAAGTATTCAAAGGAGGAACTAGAAGCAGCTTCCCATTGTCCAGTCCAGGGATTCCCTAAGCCAAAAGCTGAGGCTACAGCTAATCACTGCAGGCTGCAGGGGTTCAGCTCAGCATCCCTATGGCAAGTGGCTGGTGCTCGTCAGTCCTAAACTTGTCCCCAAGGAAACCTCTTTTCATCTGGGGCAAGAGGACAAAGGCTGGGGCTCACAAAAGGTCCTTTGTCTGCCTACAGCTTACAGGAGAAGCTAGACTCTACAGAAAGATTACCAAAACGATCTGAGAAGGCCCAGCAGGAATAAGCAATGATCGGATGTGGCTGCCTGTTGCTGTTTACACACTTCTCATCCAATTACCATGGGTTGATTTTCATGACTGTCACTTGCTTTCATCAGAATATCAAAGGACAACAGTGGTGTCTTTGAGTTTTTCATCCACAACTTAACTTCTGTGGCCTTATTATACTGAAAGCTGTCTTTTGTAAGATAATTAATAGTTATCCCTCATAACAAAAGTAAATCTCTCTCACCACTCTGCTAGTGGGTCTTTCCTGTGAACCTCAGTGTTCACCTTCTCTTAACTTATAAGAGGCTATACAAGGTGATGAGAGGCCTGGGATTACGTCCTGTGAAATAGGGGTAACAGCAATTCTAACTTCAAAGTTTTCTCATGATAATTAAATGACACAAAATCATCTTAAGTTCCCAGAAAAGAGTCTGGCACATTTTAAGTGCTCAGTAAATCAGAGCAATTATTAATTGTTGCTATCTGCCACCCTTCTCCAAGAGAGCGAGGAAATATTTATGATGGACTAGGGAGCAAACACTCACGTTGACCATATGGTGAGTAATAAGATGCGGTCTTCTTAGCATCACCAAAGTCATAGACCACAGGTATGGCTGGGCCATTGTCATTCCAGCAGTTCCCTAATCCGTATTTCACTGGGTATTTCTGCAGAGACCAAGAAGAGAGGTTTTGTGAGGGCATTAGAGATGCTGCCATAGTCGGGGTCGGGGGAGGTTTCAAGTTAACTGCTATTAACCAAACCCATCATAATAATAGTGACTCCTGCCGGGCCTGGTGGCTCACGCCTGTAATCCCAGCACTTTGGGAGGCCAAGGCAAGTGGAGCACCTAAGGTCAGGAGTTCAAGACCAGCCTGGCCAACATGGTGAAACCCTGTCTCTACTAAAAATAAAAAATTAGCTGGCTGTGATGGCACACGCCTGTAGTCCCAGCTACTCAAGAGGCTGAGGCAGAATTGCTTGAACCCAGGAGGCAGAGGTTGCACTGAGCTGAGATCACGCCACTGCACTCCAGCCTTAGAGACAGAGTGAGACTCCGTCTCAGTAAAAAACAATAATGATAGTGACTCCTTTTCCCTATCTCCCCAACAGCCCCAAGCCCCTCGTCCCTGTCTCTTTCTCCCTATGCTCTCCTGTCCCACGGGCCTCTTCCTTGCCTGGCTTAGAGTTCCTGAGAAGGTGGACATGAGTTCGCAGTGAACCAAAGGAAACAGAAACAGCCAACCACTCGGCAGTGATGTGGAACCACAGAGCGGATCTGTCCCCTACCCCAGACACGTGGCTCTCTGGTCACCAAAGAGAGTGCCCCCAGCCAGCAGCCCTGTGTACCTGGTAGAGGCCAAACAGATTATGTCCCAGGCTCTGGAAGAAGCCAGTGTTGGTGCGGTACCTCAGCAGGGCTCTGTTTCTCCAGTGCTGCATGGGGGACTTGTTGGGCACATGCCAGATGCCCAGGTCCTTGGCCTGGATGTCATAGTAGCCAGGGTTCTGGAAAGCAACAAACACTGAGTCTGATGGGGCCACGAGGTCCCAGGAGGTAAAAGGCCCACACATGCAGCCTCAGCTGGGCTGAGAGCTCTGGACTCCAGGTGGGCAGATGGCCAGACACGCTCAGACACCCCACTCCGAACAGACGATCCCACCACCACCCAGGCCCTAACGGCCTTGTTGGGAGGAAGTTGGGATTCAAGACATATATTTCTCTCTTCTTTTCCAGCCCTTCCCCACATCCTGCCTTCTAGCCCTCCCTCCTGCAGGCCTGTGACCAGCCACATTCCACTGCTCGCCCTCACCCAAGCAGGTGGGAAGTGGCACCAACCTTGTAGTCATCGCTCGTGGCCGCCTCTGCAGACCCAAAGGTGTTGTAGTTGGCCCAGTTGCCGTCTCCCTCTGGGTAGTCTGCTTTGTTGCCCTGCTGACTGGACCAGCGATCGCCCACCGTGCACTTCCCACTCATGTCATTCTCGTGCACGCTGGCCACCAGGGTCCAGCCGCCACCCCCAGAGGTCATGTCACAGAAGGTCTGGTAGACAACACCATTCTTGGTGCGGAGAAAATACAGGCCATCTGTAGAGAGGATCATCCCAGAACCTCCCTGTCTATAGCTCAGGGTCCATCTCAGCCCCATGAATAGAAAAGCCCTAGGAAGTCAAAAGTACACTCTGAAGGCTCCAACACGTACTTGGAAGATGATGCTCCACGCATCTTGTGTTCTGCTCACCTAGGAGCAGAGGCACTGACTACCTTGGCTTCAGACTGTCCTCTCAGAGTTGTAGAGCAAATAACCTTAGAAGAGAGACAGATGGATCTCCCTCTCGACAGTGCCACCCTGTGGCCAGGAGAGGCCAGAAATCAGCACACAGCCACATCTGAGTCTGCGACAGGATGGGACCTCTCTGCAGCTCAGAGCAAAGGTTGTGCCTATTATGTAAGAGTCAGCTTCCCCAAGCTCAGAGCTCCCCTCCTGTTCACTAGCTTGCAGCAGACTGGCTCCTCTGTGGCATCCCGATGACTTTGCACATTCGCGCATAGGCCACATAGGGACAGCTTACCTAAGCCTTGCCAAAAGCCTGTGATCTCCCTGAAACATGGAAAGGTGGGAAGCTTGAGAGGAACTGCAACGAGGTCACTTCTCACCCGCTCCCTATCTTCGTGGAAGCTGTCATGAGACCGCTGTCATGACTGTGTCGTCACCTCCCGGGTTCTGAGGAGCTGTATGAGGCTTTTTGCCTCGCTCGCCCCCACGCCGTAAGGTACACAGGCTATGAAACAGCTATGGCAGCATGGACTGGCTCCTCAGCCACTGCCCATGTTGTGTTGTCACCTCCTTCTTTTCCGTGCTGTCTTGTGGGACAACGGATGGGAGAGGCTGACACTTTTGCCGATCTTGAATTTGCTTTCTGTGTGAGTAATAAACACTCTGGCTCTAAATAGGCCTTGTCGTTTCTTTGCCAGCCAAATTTGTCAGCCTGCTTGACAAACCCACTACTTGTGCAGATGTCACCTGGCACAGTACAAGAAAATGCTGATGCCCTGGCTACTGCTATTCCTGTGATTAATAAAGCTCTTTGTCTCTGGCTCGGGAGTTTCAGGTTTTCTGCCAGCCTCTATAGACCCAGAGCAAGTAGGGGCAAAAGATTCATTGCAGTTCTTGCCGCTACGCTAAGCATCGCCAGGAACACTGCACTCTCTGTGTTCAGAAGATCATGTGACTGAAATGGGACACAAAAGCCTCAAAATTCACACTAGAAACTTCCTTGAGTAGGAGCTGGGGGCAGAACAGGCTCCACATGGGTATGTCCCTCCTGATTTCTAGGAGTGGGCTCTGTTGACCTAAAAAGTGGCGTCAAAGAGAGAATGCTGAGTTGGTTCGTTACTCACCACCTGCTCTATGGCAACGTTCCTTGATTTCCTTGCAGCTTCTAGACAGGGAAGAAAAGGAGGAGGCACAGGTTCCATCCATCCTCGAGAGCATCTCAAGAGAAGAGGCCACTGCCAAAAGATGTGAGAATGATTCTCATTACAAGTCTGATGACGGATGCTGGGAGCGGTGGTTCATGCTTGTAATCCCAGCACTTTGGAAGGCTGAGGCAGGCGGATCATGAGGTTAGGAGATAGAGACCATCCTGGACAACATGGTGAAACCTCCTCTCTATTAAAAATACAAACAATTAGCCAGGCGTGGTGGCACACACCTGTAGTCCCAGCTACTCGGGAGGCTAGGGCAGGAGAATCACTTGAACTTGGGAGGCGGAGGTTGCAGTGAGCCAAGATGGTACCACTGCACTCCACCCTGGGTGACAGAGCTAGATGCCATCTCACAAAACAAAACAAAAAGTCTGACCACTGATACCATCTTTCCTGGCCAACCTCTGCCTCTGTATGAACTCATCACTCTGCTCTGAAGTCCCAGGAGGTCAGGGATTCTCTATGCTAAGATCGTCTGATCCAACAGCTGGTATAGCTGAAACACCAGGAATCTTCCACTTGACTACCTTTAGTTAAATCCCTACTGTGTAAACTACCTAGACACTGGACAAAGACAACTGGACACATTTCTTCAAGAAACTACATTCTACAGGGAAGGAGCACATGGAAAGGGACCCAAATGAGATGGGAGGGCAGACTCACCTATGGGGCGAGCCCTGGGAACTTGCTTGGGAAGGGACCAGCTGTAACTCAGCAGGCTGATTTTGATGGGAGAATGGGAGCCAGCTATAAAACAGAAAGGAAAGGGGAGAGTGCACCCCAGGAAGAGAAGAACGCCCATGAGATGGCCTGAAGTGATAGCAGAGCCCAGCCCCGCCCAGCCTGCTGAAAACTACAGGTCAGTCACTTACTATGGCTGGACCAAACGCTGTGATACAAAGAGGCGTGGAAACCAAAGCCAAAAACTTCACAGAGGCCAGGGGATGAAGGACTATGCATATTAGTCTAAAAGCCTAGAAATTATTCCAAAAGCCTGGCAGAGTGGGGAAAAGTGTATTTAAAATTACAGGACTCAGCCTGGGCATGGTGGCTCATGCCTATAATCCCAGCACTTTGGGAGGCCAAGGTAGGCGTATCACAAGGTCGAGTTCGAGACCAGACTTGCCAATATAGCAAAATGCCGTCTGTACTGAAAATACAAAACTTAGCCAGGTGTGGTGGTGTGCACCTGTAATCCCAGCTACCGGGGAGGCTGAGGCAGGAGAATCACTTGAACCCAGGAGGTGGAGGTTCCAGTGAGCCGAGATTGCACCACTGTACCTCAGCCTAGGCAACAGAGCAAAGACTCTGTCTCAAAAAAAAAAAAAAAATACAGGACTCAAGTTAAAATCCCAGATGCCCAGGCATGATGGCTCACACCTGTAATCCCAGCACTTTGGGAGGCCAACGCAGGCAGATCACAAGGTCGGGAGTTCAAGACCAGACTGACCAACATGGTGAAACCCATCTCTACTAAAAATACAAAAATTAGTGGAGCATGGTGGCACACACCTGTAATTCCAGCTACTCGGGAGGCTGAGGCAGAAGAATCGCGTGAACCAGGAGGCAGAGGCTGGAGTGAGCCGAGATCGTGCCACTGCACTCCAGCCTGGTGACAGAGCGAGACTCTGTCTCATAAAAAAATAAAATAAAATAAAACAAAACCCCAGACAACCTCTGATGGCAGTGCCTTCTTGGGCAGACACTTACCATCTCTAATCCTTTTTTTCTTTATCTTTAAGATGCCATTAGGCCAGGTGTGGTGGCTCACGCCTGTAATCCCAGCACTTTGGGTGGCCGAGGCAGGCAAATCATGAGGTAAAGAGATTGAAACCATCCTGACCAACATGGTGAAACCTCGTCTCTACTAAAACTACAAAAATTAGCCGGGCGTGGTGGCACGTGCCTGTAGTCCCAGCTACTCAGGAGACTGAGGCAGAAGAATCGCTTCAACCTGGAAGGCAGAGGTTGCAGTGAGCCAAGATCGCGCCACTGCACTCCAGCCTGACCACAGAGCAAGACTCTGTCTCAAAAAAACAAAACAAAATAAAAGATGTCATTAATAACTTCTTTATACTCATGGAGATCAAATGAGATGTCATGTGTAAATGTACTTTTTTTAACTGATTGAAATAAACAATAGAACCCAATATCAATGATAAAGTATCACTATTATGCCTACTGGAAGAACAGAATTATGAGGATGGCAACTAGAGGAGGGTACACCCTGGACCCAGCACTGATCACCCGGCTCCCTCTTGGGATCCCGAGGCCAAGGCCACAAGAGGCAGAGCAGCTGAGCAGGGACACAGTTCTTACTCTCTCACCCATGAACCCCTCACAGCCACAGAAGCAGAGAATCAGGCCCCAGGATACACCTGAGCTAACATCCTGACTGCTTCAGACCAGACCCCAGGGGAGACCAGAAATCCGCAGCCAGTCCACTCTTCAAGTTGGCTGCTTAGCATGGGTTCTGTGCCCCTCCAGGACTTCCCCTGCGGCCCTGGACTTCAGAGCCCTGCCTAGCTCTACCCCCTCCAGGGCCCTGCACAGCAGAGGGGCACACAGCGAACTGCAGCCCCTACTCTCAGGAGCGATTTACCTGCACTGCACCTGCTGGTGGCCACAGACAGGAACAGCAAGAAGGTGAGTCTGGTCATTGTCCTCTAAGGAAAAACAAGATGCATAATGTCACTGGCTGGCCCCTCCTTTGTCAACTTCTCATTCTTACTCCCTGACCTTTCTGACTCAGGAAACCTCAAATGGAAAGTGACGGGCTTGTGAGCATTCTAGAACCTCCCAGAATATCCCCCACTGCTGTCCAACACTGCAAATACCCAAGGGGCCATGGGCTCATTTTCCTGAAACTCAATCTCTGAAACTGAGACCAGACCTGAGCTGGCATCATTGCTCCCACACAGATGGATCAAAAACACCTTCCTCACCAGCACAGACAGCTCCCTCCTTACTGCCTCACAGATGCCAGGGCTGAAAGTTCTCTTCTGGTGACTCTCAGAGCTCCCCTGCAGGGGATCCTGATGCAGGGTGAAGTGTGGTCCCTTTATGCAGACAGCCAAACCACCCAAGCCCTGCCCAGCCTAGGCTGCTGGCCCCTCCCTCTGATGCCCTTCCCTCTGAGGGTACCTGAGCCTGGGCCCTGGAAATGAGAAAGGACATGTGACTGTCTGGAGAAGCAGGAAGCTCTGTTCCTGACCACACGGACGACTGTTGCCATCTGAGGAGGGTCGTCCTGCTTTCCCAGGGCAGGCCATACAAGGTAGCGGTATCTACTCAGATTTGCAAATAAGTCGTAATCCTCCCCTGCCTTCTCCCTTCCCCTCCTCTCCCAGATGCCCCGGCCCCCTAGACACAGCTCTGTCAAGACATCATCCTTATAGACTGAGGTGACACCTCATGAAAAAGAAATTAATTAAGAATAATAATTGCGGCCGGGCGCGGTGGCTCAAGCCTGTAATCCCAGCACTTTGGGAGGCCGAGGCGGGTGGATCACGAGGTCAAGAGATCGAGACCATCCTGGTCAACAT